CTCTGGATGCAAATTTTCTTCCGCCAGCTGCTCCTGTGATCCAGTGCACCATCATTGGGCCTTCTCCAGGAAATTGACATTACCATAGCCCAGCTCTCAAGAATTAAAAGCCATCGTAGGTTGCTAGCTTTGGACTTCAGCGAGAGTGGGATTGGACGATATATGGGCTAGTAGTCTGGTCTCCAAGCCGCGGACTTGCACCATGCGTGAAGTGTACTTGGGGCTGTTAACATGGCCCGCAGGCTAAAGTTTTCCTTATTCATGGGTTGTTTACTTTTTATTAGCCCTGTTCACTTTTTATTAGTGGTATAACATGAATAAGCCCCCACGTGAATGGGCTGGTGGTTGGCGCCTCTTCCTCAGGACCGTCAGGTCCTGGGATCAAATCTCCGCAGCAACATCGGCTTTTCCGTGCATCTAACGTGCTAGATCTGGTTGGGGCGCTGGACCGGGCCGGAGTGGAATTAGTCGGGCCGCCTTTACGGACTTGACCCAGACATCCACTCCGTCGACCCAAAAAAAAAAAAAAAACATGAATAATACAAATTTGATTAAACTTTTATGTCGGTTTAGAGCCATATTGTTCCCTCACCAATGAAAGAGTTTCACGTGATGAAGATAAGTTCCATGTGGACATATAAGGGTTCCTTCCCCGATTTCATTTAACATGTTAGATGGGGCATTTGTATGTCTACATGAATTTTTTTTTTTTTTTTATTGATTCTGAATTAACTACTAGGCATATTAACATGTTAGATGTGCACTTAAAAGGAGGAGAGTTTTCGCATAAATATGCTTCTTGTTGTATATGATCCTTTACTCCTCATTCTTTGTGTGTTCTGATGAAAAACGCATCAGAATACACAATAAATAAAACATCATTCAATGTGACTGCTGCCAAATTATCAAGACATCCAAATTTATTCTTCTGAGACGAAACTCATATAAATTGAATGAAGATGTGTGCAGTCTTACTTACTGAACTAGTAGAGACATATAACTCTCTCTCTCTCTCTCTTTTTCCCATCAAAGAACGTAAATCCCCATCTAAATGTCTCATTTAATCTGCCATCTTAATGCAAGTTACTACTACACCGAGTTCCCACGCAACTTATATAATATACGTGTGCATTCGTTCCAGAAGTGGCTAAACCCGCGAAGAAAACAAACTCACTCAAATATGGCACCATCCCGCGTACTCTTCACAATATTGGTGCATCTTTGCACTGTTGCTAGCTGCCTCTGCCATAATCAACCAAGATTCACCGCCATATACGCTTTCGGTGATTCTTTTGCGGATACGGCAATAACAATTTCCTTGTCACGCTGCTAAAAGCCAACCATGCCCCGTATGGGCAATGCTTTCCCGGTCGGGTAGCAACAGGAAGGTTTTCTGATGGAAAACTCATTCCAGATATTCTGGCTTCAGCGCTTGGGATCAAAGAGTTCGTTCCACCTTTTCTGGATCCAAGTTTGTCGCCTCAAGAACTCCGGACAGGCGTCTCCTTTGCCTCGGCGGGGTCCGGGTACGATGAGCTGACAACCGTCTTCACTAACGTAATCCCTGTTTCGAAACAGGCCGAACACTTCGAGCATTACATAGGGAGGCTGAACCGGGCTGCAGGAGAAGTTGCTGCTAGAAATATAGTTAGAGGCTCCCTGTCGGTGCTCCTGGCAGGAACCTCTGACTTTCTAATAAACTTTTATGACACCCCTACCAGACAGATTCATTACAACCTCACTGGATATCAAGATTTTCTGCAGCACAAAATCCGACAATATGTATCACCTAATCTACTCTTGTGCCTAAAGATAATTATATTATTTCAACTATTCACCCCTTACAAGTTACAATCACTTTTACATCCAATTGAATTAATTACCACTTCTCTAATAAAAAAACCACAACTTCACTAGACTACTAAAATGGTTCACCTCTTTTAAACTATAACTTTCTCACAAAAAATAATTTCAATTTTTTTTAATAATTGCGCACACATTGAGTGTCTCCAAGTACTAGTGTATATAAAAGCAAAACCAACTCAATTGATGGGCTCTCAGGTAACTACGAGTGATTCGACTCCGAGCTCCCTTCTTTTCCTCTTCCCTTCCGTATGTAAGATTTAGAAATTCATCTCCGAGATCTTCCCTTTCTTTCCTTCCCCTCCATATAAAATTTAAAGTCTCTTCTCTTTTAAATCCTAATAATATATATGATGGAGTGTTTGAATATAATATTCTTACAATTCTCCAACAAATAACAAGAACTTGAGAGTCTTGTTCTTCAAAACCTTGCATCAGCCAAAGATCCTACAAATACAAATCTGAATGACAATACTCGGGATGATACTGAGTTCTTAAACCAATTATCCAAGAAAACAACTAATAAAGATTATTCGATCCAAGTTCGGTTACTAATTAGTAATAATTATGTGTGTCTGTGTGTGTATATATAGACATATATATATATATATATGTATGTATGTATCTTATTATTCTCTTCAGAGTAAAGCCTAATTAGAATTTGCTTTCTATATCTATTTCCCTCCAAACAACTCCGAGTCCTATACTTTCTTGAAGGCCAAAGCCATATCACTAATACATCAATTCTATTTATTCGACATGGAATCCATTATATTTTCTCCATGTAATGTAGCTAGTGAAGTTTTTTTCTCTATTGAAAAAAGAAGTGATGCATCAACTTAAAACATAAATGTCATAAATCCCACTTAAAACGTAAAGCCTTTTTCCAATGTTGAATGATCATTTTGACATAATTTTGGCAGGGTCCGTAGTTTCAATTTCTTCGGCTGTAGAGTTGGTAGCTTTACCATCTGATTACAAGTTGATTGTTGATGCTAATTCTTCGACCTTACAAAAATATCTTCGTGTCCTTTCATCACGAATAGTTAATTGAATGCTTGCACTAGTAGTTTTTGTCGGACAACTGTTGGTACAAAAAAAAAAAAAAGTGCACACACAACGGGAGTAGTTTTAACACATATAAAAATATTTAAAAAGAGGAGCAGAACAAACACACAACAAATATTCAATAATTTATTTAACTTAAAACTCAACAATAACAAATATTAAGTTGTAGTTTTTCGCTCACGCCAACTTACAAATCTCAACTATAAAATTTTCTCTCAAACCTATTTTTCAAAACCCAACTCAACTTTTCGAATGATAATCTACTAGATTGATAGTATTTATAAACTCTAAGACTTCATAAAACAAATACAATTGTAAATCAAAACTTACTTAAAAACTGACTTGAGATTTCCTAATCTAATATGAAAACTAAACAAACAAGACACCAAAAGGAATTAGGAAACTAAATACTAAAATAGCTTGCTTTAATTTCCTTCAACAACTATCATTTGCAAAATCCCTTCTTATTAATTTGTTCTAAATGATTGGTCCCGTAAAGTTTAAAATATCTCGTTGAGTCCCGTTTATTCCTATTTTCATACGGTAAAGTACTAATTTTGCTAGTTGAGAAAACGGTGTTTGGCGAGAGGGACGAGATGGAATCCATGTGAGCTCTGTAGGATAGGAAATATGATAAAGGGGAAATGCCAGCTTGCCCCATCATTTGTTTTTGTGTGTTGCGTGCGTAGGTCGGTCTTTGAGTACTCTGGATCCAAGCCATAAAACCAGCCTCTTAATGCTACCATTAAACTAATTAGTTTGAGCTCTTGTCGCCCTGCCCCGGCCCCGGCCATTAGCTTCCTTTGTTTTATTATGGCTTATCAAACCTTTACTTATCCGTGCTTTATATATGGTTGCAGTGAACAGGCAATTGCAGCAGCGTAGTAATATGAAAGATTATACAAGAAATATATGACATTTAGGAAAAAATAAATTTTTTTTTACCAACAGAAGAGATCTACAGACTGATAGTGTGATGCCAGGGTTGTTTTAAGAACTTTTTATATAAGCAAATAAATGGTTGTGGAAAAACTTTTACTATTTACTGATCCTGCAGGTTAATAAATAATGCACCAATTCATTTACTAGAGAGTTCATCAGCTTTTTTGTTTTTTTCGTGGATGAGTATGTTGCAAAATAAGTTCATGACTAACTTTCTCGGGCGAATAGAAGTCAAATGATTTCATAAACCACTCTTCAACTCTCAAGTTTTTAATGCAAGAACCATCTGTAGTGCTGTTAAGTTGCTTCAGTATTTACCACTGTAAAAAAATAAATAAATAAATAAATAAAGAGGTTCTAATCGAGGACAGTAACCATTTGATCCAGTGCATCCATATGATTGGACAAATAAAACCACGAAACTAGTCACTAGATTGAGCAAGTTCTGGCCTAAATTACTAAATCCAACAGCTCAGATTCCTGAAAATGATCACTTAGAAGCCACATGCATTTGAAGGGGAAAGAACGTAGGTATGCTCATCATTTATGCAGCAGTCATCTCCTAAAATGACGCTGGTTTTGAGAACTAAAACGTTAGCTAGCTGGCTGGCTTGTTGCATGAGAATCATAGAATATACTAGTAATTGCAGGAGGAAGGAGAGCATTATATATTTTTCTTGTTCCTTTTGGGTAATCGTAAACAATGGAGCGGCACAGCTGGTGTGACTGACATCGCATTTTCTTGCTTGTTAGATTGGTGAATTTTGTGCTTCCACGATTGCCCTCTATAATACATATGCGTCTTGCAGAAAATTATTAGTAGTAACTAGTTTCTGGAATAAAAATTGTTAGCTAGCAGAATTCCAAGTCAAAACTCGAGCCTACACCTAAAACTAACAACCAGCCCAATCATTAACATAAATGTTTTTTGCAAATGGAGATGACAACTAAACTATTTGTGCGATTTTTGTGGTCAGAGAGAAACAACACTTTCTTCGTTGTGAATGGATGTAGCAACCATATTTACCGTGTTAACAATGAGGTTTAACTGTTGCTTAACCGAGGAAAGGAGTGCTGCTCAAACTGGCTCGAAGAAAATAATAAAAGGAGATTACGAGATCAATCTATACGGTCGAGATTTCATTAACTATTCATTGATTATTGCTTCGAGGACATAGATCGCAAAACCATGCCGGTAATTATCCTCAAGAACTTTACAAGAAGGTCGATCATCAATTACAACTTGATCAGCTGACTGTAAAACAAAAAGGAATTTCTTTGTAAGGTCGACCGAATCTTGTAGTAGTATATATCCCTTGTGGCAAACAGACGACTATGCCATAGAAGTTTCCGGTTCTGCTATATTACATGCAGACGGAAATAGACTACTCCTTTCTTCTTTCCATAAAGAAAAAGAAAAAGAAAATTATGCACAAAATCAATCATTCCATCTAAAGGGAGGAAAAAGAGATGGGTTGAACCCAATTGGAGGGGAAAACAAAAGGACTTTAGTCCTCAGAAATGCTCTCGAGATGGGGCCTCCAGACTCCAACTCTACATCTCCGGCGATCTCGGCGGGAGGACTTTTTATCGGACGAGACTTCCGTTAAATGTTGATCGCAATCCGCCGCAGTCATAGTGGCGCTCTTGCTCTTCTTGGAAGGCTTCTTAGGCAAACTGCGGATTTTGTTTTTTTCTGGCAGCGAGGACGAGCGTGTCAAGAAATATATGCTGCCTCTTTTGAGCTCTGACTCCGGTGAGAGAATTAGAATCCGGCGAACCGTGCCTTGAGAGCAAGGTTTACTCAAGACATGATTCGGGTGGTTCTTTAAGACTTCTCCGGCCGTCAGAGGGCCTGTTAATTCTTCTACGTACCCATTTAAGTGTACTATACGGATCAAGTCTAAGGCTCCACACGGAAGAACGCATGCCAAACAGCACCTTAGACTGTTTCCCATGTTCTTCAATCCAACCTCCCTTTCTTTCCCTTCTTTCTTCTTCTATGATGAATCTATGGTGTTTTCAATGGGATTTGAAATGGGGAAGACTTTCAATGGTTATATATACAGGAACAAGCTAGTCCGTACCATTTTGAAACAAATGCATTATACTACTAATGTACTGTCATGCTTCGATCAAAATGACACAAAGACCCCGGGATTATTTTCAACTCTTTGTTTAACTACTATTAATATACCCTTCCTTGTGATTAGGTTTTGACTTAATTAATCCGAGAATAAGCTTTTGCAGGAGTATCTTGTACAGTTGGACGTACTACTGGCTGGTATAATTAAAGCTTGGGCTTGGTAGCTTGGTGCCTTGTGCATGCCTTATATATGGAATGTTAAGCATTTCTTTTTCTTTTGAATGTTAATTAGGAATTTTTTCACTGTTTTCCACATTTCATTTAGAAAATATGCTATTTTTTTTAGAATAGCATAGGAAAATTGAAACTTGAGCATATTATCTTAGAAATTTTTGACGGGTGTCCAATAAATAGATACTCGTTAACATATCTAAATTGCACTCAACTTACAATTTAAGTGCACACACATCGATATTTATTATCCGCTCTCCATTTATATGCGATCTTAATTAACTATACTAATTTGAAAACTTAACACTTAAAGTAATTGCTCTTATTTGGTGCTTGGGTTGCGCCTAATTAATGCAAAAGTAACTGTTGCTTCTTATATATATACATATATATATGGATTTTTTTTTCTAACAGGTGTTTTTAGAGCACTCCTTAATACACCTAATATTCACCTAACCTATTATATATATATATATATACATATATATACACACACACACACACATACTAACAATTATTATTCTCTTTTTTTGCACTTATATGTTTTTCCTATTTAATTTTGCCTACCCACATTCTTGTATTTATTTATTTTTTCTAATTAATTTTATATTTTTAAAAATATAATACTTAAAATATATTTTAACGGTTGCCCATTAGACAAATTATATATACACACACGCATATACATATACGTGTATGTATGTTTGTATGTATGCGGGTCCCGCAACATGTAGCATAAGGAGCGATCGAGAATACAGGCAAGACACTAGCTAGTTTAGACCCGTATTCGGAGATTAGGTACGGAACTCAAATTCAGCCATTACCACCATCCATCATATTAGTGAAATGTCCACCGCCTAACGAAACTGTCATCTATCCTCTTTGTCTCTATGAAAGTATCATCTATCCTCTTTTTTCTCTAAACTCATCTCAGGGCTAAGCTGATTATAAATGTATTGGACAACTCATGCGTCATATAGATTTCAAGTTTAGACTTTAGATGGCACCTACTTCTTCACATCTATAATAGTCATTTCGTTTTTCATTTTTCTGACAACGCTATATAATCCTTTAAACTTTAAAGCTTCTCCTTTCTTGTAGGGATCAGGATTTCTAATTGCAAAATATGGCAATATTATTATTAAAATGCAATAGTGCAACTCATTATATTCAAGCTTTTTATAGGTCTGTGACAGAAGACAAGCAAACCTCGGGTAAGAAATAAGTTTCCAAAATCTTGATTGCTAAATTCCAAAGAGTCCAGCTGTCTTGATCTCGGGGTAAATGAGTATTAATAGATTGAGTGTTTCTTATGCTTAATTAACATTTTTTTCCCCGTGAAGCATTCCAAGGGGGATCGTGCCTAGATGCATGCAACGTACACTAGTAGTAGTTATTGGTAAAATATTAATCTCTTCATCCATCCACTTTGATAATACTCTTTCACGCAATTTAAGAAAAATTAGTTAATTTTGTTGAAAGATAAATCTAGGCACCTGTTTTTCTAAAATCTCTTTAGAGATAATATGAGGTGTATGACTAATCATTATCCATTTACATTAATTACGAAAGCAATACTATGAAAAGTTGTATCATTCAACATATGAATGAAAGCAATTATTAAATAAGATAGATTATACTTACGTCCAAAGGGCACTGGTTCAGTGAACGTGCCGGATCCAAAGCGTTCATGTCCTTGACATTTGTACGCGTACTCCGACTACGAATGTACATGCTGTACTATTATGCTTAACTAGTATCCAGTACTTCACAGTTACTAAATCAGCTGGAACTGAATCAAAGTTATGAACTCGGTTTGATTTCGGAGCACAAAATTGGCTCTGTCGGATTTCAAGATGATGAATCGGTGAATTTATACAGCGAATGACAAAAGAAGTACTGGTACAAAAACCTAAATACACCACTCATTTTTTATATAAGCGGTGGATCTGTGAATTAATGAAACCCACATATTTTCATTCTCTTTTTGCAAAATCAGTGAACTCCTCAGCGAAAATCTTAATGGGTTTCAATCAGATTTGTATTGGTCGTGGTGGTGGAGGCCGAAAGGGGTCCAGCAATCGTCTTGACCCTTACCAAACAAAATTCCTATTGTTCTTGGAATTCCATATCCATCACACGTACTTATTGATATACCCCCAATAATTCACCAATAATTTCGTATCAGGCCCATAGATGGGGCCGATAGAGTGGCAATTTCCAAACACCGTCCACGAACATCAATGTCTTGTGGTATGGTGACCTTCCCAACTTTGCTTGGTTGCAGATGAATGAATGAAGACTTCAAATTCCTACCTCGACTTCCTTATTTTATTTTGCATACGTGTCATGTATTCAATCAATCGTAATAATACATATATGATCAGCCAGCATATATAAGATTTATGCTTAAAGAAAATTGTTCAAATTCCGTCGTCACGAAGAAAGAATTAGGATAAGCAAACATTCAACAAAAGGATCTCAGCCATGAAAAAATCGTTGATGGATGAGATTTGTAAATCTTGTAGTCAATCGTATTGCATGGTGGTAACCAAAAACATATATTTGTATAGATTGAAGTTAGAACATGTATTTGTTTGAAACCACCCCCCCCCCCCGGGCCAGCCCCAAAAAAAAAAAAAAAAAAAAAAACCCAATACTGAACATGGTGCTTCATGTTTCTGGACGTCAAGCAAGATTGCTTGTTGCAACCCAAAAAATAATTACTTCATGAAAAGAAATAATATAACCCAAGGTGTATCAGATTAGTATTACATTCATCCATATACAGATACGATCGTATCTCTGAAAAATATGTCAAAAGATTCGAATCAAACTGCGGTTAATTGTTAATGCTAGAATGAAAAATAGATGTGGTAGTATTATACAGCTTGTCTCACCACCCCTTCCTCCCTCCCTGTGAGGCAGTCACCATCAACCAATCAATAATGCCTTCATATGATGGACAGAACCAGAAGGCAACAGAAGACGCCAACTGGCTTGAAAAGAGCCTCTGGATGCAAATTTTCTTCCGCCAGCTGCTCCTGTGATCCAGTGCACCATCATTGGGCCTTCTCCAGGAAATTGACATTACCATAGCCCAGCTCTCAAGAATTAAAAGCCATCGTAGGTTGCTAGCTTTGGACTTCAGCGAGAGTGGGATTGGACGATATATGGGCTAGTAGTCTGGTCTCCAAGCCGCGGACTTGCACCATGCGTGAAGTGTACTTGGGGCTGTTAACATGGCCCGCAGGCTAAAGTTTTCCTTATTCATGGGTTGTTTACTTTTTATTAGCCCTGTTCACTTTTTATTAGTGGTATAACATGAATAAGCCCCCACGTGAATGGGCTGGTGGTTGGCGCCTCTTCCTCAGGACCGTCAGGTCCTGGGATCAAATCTCCGCAGCAACATCGGCTTTTCCGTGCATCTAACGTGCTAGATCTGGTTGGGGCGCTGGACCGGGCCGGAGTGGAATTAGTCGGGCCGCCTTTACGGACTTGACCCAGACATCCACTCCGTCGACCCAAAAAAAAAAAAAAAAAACATGAATAATACAAATTTGATTAAACTTTTATGTCGGTTTAGAGCCATATTGTTCCCTCACCAATGAAAGAGTTTCACGTGATGAAGATAAGTTCCATGTGGACATATAAGGGTTCCTTCCCCCGATTTCATTTAACATGTTAGATGGGGCATTTGTATGTCTACATGAATTTTTTTTTTTTTTTTATTGATTCTGAATTAACTACTAGGCATATTAACATGTTAGATGTGCACTTAAAAGGAGGAGAGTTTTCGCATAAATATGCTTCTTGTTGTATATGATCCTTTACTCCTCATTCTTTGTGTGTTCTGATGAAAAACGCATCAGAATACACAATAAATAAAACATCATTCAATGTGTGCAGTCTTGCTTACTGAACTAGTAGAGACATATAACTCTCTCTCTCTCTCTTTTTCCCCTCAAAGAACGTAAATCCCCATCTAAATGTCTCATTTAATCTGCCATCTTAATGCAAGTTACTACTACACCGAGTTCCCACGCAACTTATATAATATACGTGTGCATTCGTTCCATAAGTGGCTAAACCCGCGAAGAAAACAAGCTCACTCAAATATGGCACCATCCCGCGTACTCTTCACAATATTGGTGCATCTTTGCACTGTTGCTACCTGCCTCTGCCATAATCAACCAAGATTCACCGCCATATACGCTTTCGGTGATTCTTTTGCGGATACGGGCAATAACAATTTCCTTGTCACGCTGCTAAAAGCCAACCATGCCCCGTATGGGCAATGCTTTCCCGGTCGGGTAGCAACAGGAAGGTTTTCTGATGGAAAACTCATTCCAGATATTCTGGCTTCAGCGCTTGGGATCAAAGAGTTCGTTCCACCTTTTCTGGATCCAAGTTTGTCGCCTCAAGAACTCCGGACAGGCGTCTCCTTTGCCTCGGCGGGGTCCGGGTACGATGAGCTGACAACCGTCTTGACTAACGTAATCCCTGTTTCGAAACAGGCCGAACACTTCGAGCATTACATAGGGAGGCTGAACCAGGCTGGAGGAGAAGTTGCTGCTAGAAATATAGTTAGAGGCTCCCTGTCGGTGCTCCTGGCAGGAACCTCTGACTTTCTAATAAACTTTTATGACACCCCTACCAGACAGATTCATTACAACCTCACTGGATATCAAGATTTTCTGCAGCACAAAATCCGACAATTTATCAGGGTCAGTCAATATAGTGCATCTCTTTCCTCGTACATAGCACTACTACTACTCTCGTCAATTAATCATATGGCCGCCTCTACCGCTCTACGCCTAAAGTTTAATGAGTTTTTTTTTGGAAAAAACATCATGAAAGATGAAAAATGTTAAGAAGAGCGAAGGGAGGAGCATACAAGAATCTTGAATGCCGTGATAGATTTTGATGCTTCATTTTGTGAATATTGCAGACGCTATACGATCAGGGGGTTCGAAAATTTTTGATAGCCGGGCTTCCTCCAGTTGGGTGTTTCCCAATACAAATAACAACAAAATTGAGGTTTCAGTTATCGTGCGCGGACGACGAGAACAGGGATGCCCAGTCTTATAATCAGAAGCTCATTTCCCTCTTAGCTAAAATCGAACCGACTCTACCAGGGGCTAAGCTTGTCTATGCCGACATATTCTCGCCGTTAATCGACTCGATCATCTACCCTTCAAAATATGGTACTAACTCAAACTCATTATATTTGACAGAAAAGAGAAAAGAAAATCATTCCACACTTCTTGATTGAACTCAAACTTTTCATTGTCTTTCGCTTCTCAAACTGTTTTTCCTTTTCCATCGGAATGGATAGACAAATGTTAGACCAGAAACTTATAGGCTTGGTAATCAGAAGACAGTAGTAAAATAATTTTGTGCTTTTTTTTGTGGCACTAGTAATTTAATATCATAATTTTGGTTGGTGACAGGATTGGCCATAACTAACAGAGGTTGCTGCGGGACCGGATTGCTGGAAGCAGCGCTTCTGTGTAAAGAATTCAGTCCGGTTTGCCCAAATCCAGCCCAATTCCTGTTCTGGGATTCAACTAATCCTTCAGAAGTGGCCTATAAGAACATAGCCCAATTCTTACTGCAGCATGCTCTGCCTCAACTCGCGTAAGCGATCAACAGGATGAAGCATTAATAACCATCTCCAGTCCGCCCTTTGATTCATATTTTCCTTCCATTCAAGTTTAGAGCCTGTTTCTCCAAATTTTCACCGTAGTTGGTGCGCCAAAAAAAAAAAATTCGCAATATGGTCAGTTGAAACTTTGTGGGTTTAATCTGATACTTCCCTTTTTCAGCATATAATAAACTGTTTGAGTTTGCCATTTTCTTTCTTTACCACGCCATATAACTAAGACGTAAGTAAGGCAGCAATTCTTGTCTGTAATCGAAAGCTCTTGCAAATGAAGGGATGATATGGCGCTTTCCGAGTTGGGTAGAAGTGAAGGTGGCCTTTGTATTTTTCTTTCTCAGCACTGTAAATTGTGTGACGATGATCCATATTTCCGAGTTCCCAAGCATTCAGAGCTACCAATAATTAAGCCTAAGAATTGAATCAAAGTATTCACATTACTTTCCGTTTAATTTTTTCTTCTTTACACATTAACACATCATCATAACCTCGCACCCAAGTCATATATTTTTTTGGGTATTTTTTGACCTCAATGTTTCTATTTCACGTAATAATAGAAAAGTCCCCGAGTCTGCGTATAAGTGTCTGGCTTGTTAGACCGCAAAGACGTGATAAACTTCAATTGGCAATAGACAACTAGAAATGAATAGCATCGTTTTCCTTTTCATCCTAGGCCTGGTACAATTTCTCAGCAGCAAAACTGCTAGTAGTACTACAAGCGAGGGCAAACCCTTTCCCCATAAATTCCCTGCCATTCTGATATTTGGAGATTCCACTGTCGATCCAGGGAATAACAACTACATATTGACAGCATTTAAAGGAAATCATCCACCATATGGGATTGACTTTCCAGGGCAGATTCCGACTGGGAGGTTTTCCAACGGGAAACTCGTCCCAGACTTGTTGGCCTCCATGCTAGGCCTCAAGGAATCCGTCCCTCCTTTCCTGCAGCCAAGTTTATCAGACAGGGAATTGCTGACAGGGGTCAGCTTTGCTTCAGGAGGGTCAGGGTTTGACGAGCTAACAACTGCTGTTTCTGGGGTGATCTCGATGTCAAGGCAAATTGAATATCTTAAGGAATATATAGAGAGGCTGATCAAGATAGTGGGAGAAATAGAGGCTCAAAAAATAGTTGGTGGAGCCTTAGTCATAGTAAGTGCAGGAACCAACGATTTTATCTTCAACTTCTATGACATACCCACCAGAAGGCTTGAATTCAGCGTCAGCGGCTATCATGATTTCCTGCAAAATAAATTGCACGACTTTATTAAGGTTCTCATTACAACCAGCCCTCTCTTTATTTTTTGCTGTCTCATCTGAACTTCTCTAATCATTTCTGAACTTTTCGCCCAGTACCAAAAGCAAACATCATAATAACATGTAGCTTAAGTTGCCGTATCATGGCATGTTTGCGGACGTTTGTCGTGGTCTAGAGGATTAATTCACTAAAGCACTACCCTCCAGCGCCCTGTCTTTTATAAGCGTAATCCTTACAATTTAAATGAATCTCATTCATTCTGGATTTTGCCCTTAAACATGCCTACCGGGTGATATTCAATTTGGCAGGAACTATACGATCTTGGATGCCGGAAAATTATTGTTTCAGGGCTTCCCCCAATTGGATGTCTGCCGATTCAGTTGACTGTGAAGCATTCCATTTTGAGAAGATGTGTCGATAAGGAAAACTTGGACTCTCAAACTTATAATGACAAGCTCCAAAAGCTGCTCCCCAGAGTACAGGAAACTCTCTCAACAACCAAAATCCTTTATGCAGACGCGTACACTCAACTAATGGACATGATAAAAAATCCTCAAGAATATGGTAACAATTCTGATTATCTTTTGAAATGTTTCTTGTTCAGCCCTTTCTTTTTTCCCACTTTTTGGTTAATAATAAGCAAGCTTGCGTGGTTCTGGTTTTCAGGATTTGTGGAAACAACGAGGGGGTGCTGTGGCACTGGAATACTGGAAGCAGGACCTTTGTGCAATGCGGGCACTCCAATTTGTCCCAACCATTCTCTGCACATATTCTGGGACAGCATTCATCCTAGTGAATCAACTTACCGCTACATTTCAGAGCAATTGCTGAAGGAACTCCTTCCCAAGTTATCACAAACAGAAGACAGCTGTTGAATTGTATCTGATTCTCATTCCTTTCAACTTTTCTGTTCCTTCTTTCTTTTTAGAGTAATGTTGATACTGTTATGGCTATTAGAACTCAAATAATCATCGAATTGGCTAATAACAACACCTACAGACCCGAAGCTGGATGGCAACTGCAACGACTTGCCTGCAAAATGAGAATCAAGGGGCCATCCAGTTTTGTGCGCTGGAATTAAAATTGTACACAAAGAATACACATGTGTTTACCTTTATTAATATACTGTTTATGTTGCTACAATGCAATGAGGAATAACAATTTCTTTTTCATTCAACTTGTCCTTATTTTTCATTCCTGCCCCATTCCGTAAAAAATACGGTACCTGATCAAGCTCGCTGTACTTCAATAATTTCTCCAACTAAAATATGTACAAACACAGCTTTGAGGGCCTTGATCTCAATTTTTAGCCTTGTTTGGATTGCTGTTTTCCATCGAAAAATTACGTCGTTTTCCGTAAACACGTTTTCTTATTACCTTTTCCCCTCACATACATCAAATCGTTACAGTAATTTTTCCATGAAAAATGATGAAAAATGCAATCCAAACGGGGTCTAAATTTTGCTTGGAATTGAAATACAATTTTACTACCAAAGGATGAGATATGTACAATTAACACGAGAAACCTAACTCATAATGCGATGCGAGCAATTAACAGAAGATGCCTGCCTAATTCATAATGAGACGTGGTATGATATATGCGCAATTAGGTGCACATGAGCCTATCAATTACTGGAGTACCGTACAACTCTATTCTCAAATCTATTCGAATTCCAATTTTAACGAGCAATCAACAGCTAGACATTATTGTTTTTTATAAGTTGGGTTTATCCGTGTAACAAGGAAAAGAAGAAATAAAAAAAATATATATATATATATATGTCTCAATCCAGTCCTTTAATTTCTTTTTCACAAAAGTCCTTCACAGGAGAATCCCCTTCCCATCCTATAGACTACTACCGCATTATAATGGCAATTGATCTTGTCAACGATTCATGTGGTTTGCTGGATACATTGATTGAATATACATTTTCACGGTTCAGTTCTGCTGCATAGCAAGAAATGAAACGTTTGCATACAAGAATGTCAACATTGGAACATCATAACTAGTTTCCCAGCCAAAATTTTTTCTCTTAATCGTCAATTCTTGGCACCTCTGAGACTCTTTTGGATGCTTTTAGTACTAGCCTGCACCACATTATCTTGAACACAAGTTCAGATCAAACTTTCAGGGAGCCAAATTCTCTACACAGATAACTACAATCCTTTAATGGACATGATCAAAAATCCCAATAGATATGGTAATAACAACATAGGACTTGAACACTTTTTCGACCAATGAATTGTTTGAGATTTTTACTTTCTTGCGTGTTTCATCAATCAGCTCTAAAAAACCAGTCAATGAATTATAGGATTTGCAGAAACTGCAAGAGGTTGCTGGAGGCAAACCAATTATGCAACCCAATCACTCCTGTATGCGAGAACCAATCCCAATACGTGTTTTGGGATAGCATTCATCCTACAGAAAAAGCCTACCGCTACATAACTGATGCATCCCCGAATGCCACAACCAAGTCTCACAGTCTATGCGACAATAGCGTTCTCCAAAGTGCAATAGATGCAGCAAGCGAGATTAGACGTCGTCAGATTATCCAACATAGCGAACCATTCAAAGCTAATCACTCCAGGGAGGAAATGTCCAGACGCAGATTACGGCTCTAGTCAAAACCACAGTATTAACTTCACTACAGTCATAGAGCGCATACAAAATAAACTCTTTTAAGTTATCATAATGTCTGCAACTCTCATTGATCTATGCTAAAACGCCAATATATTGTCTGTATACAGACAGATGACAGCAGAATAATCACTACAAATAACCAATTTTACATGCACATACAACATATAGTTTTGTGGACTACACTTGCATACATACATTTCACCAGTTACAACAGAGCAAACTACTACTTGCTTACTATGGCATGCTCTCATTTCCTGCCACCGCCTGATCCACCATTTCCATTAAACAAATCATTAATCCGAGCCCCAATGTCTTCATCGCTGTACTTAATGTGTCTATCTGCATGCTTTCCAAACTCCAGGCTACTCCGCAACCTTCCAAGGAAGCTGCGGTAAGCTGGCAACAGATTCTCTGCAACAGATATCCTAAGTTCGTCTCTCAACTGATCATCAAAAATCACCCAACTGGATTGAACCCTACAAGTCTCCTCAAAGTACGTATTAAACAACTTGAGCCTTTCCTTCAAGCTCTTTGATGCTCCATTCGGAGACGAAGCACTGTTATCAATCATCAAAACTCCCAAAACCTTGTTCCATGAACTCCTCCGGTAATTCACATGACACTGCCTAACTTTTGCAGTGTGTTTGCGAATCCAATCATCCCCTAAAAGTGATCCTAACTCACTATCTTTCACCTTCTGAACAATGTATCTCCCATTATTCATCATAAAAACAGAACACAAAGCAGAGTCCCTATAAATCTTCGACTTGGCCTCCAAATTACTCTCTAACAACTCCATAATCCACGCCATCTGTACTGCCAGCGACGAAGACGCAGATAACCCTCTCTCATCCCCTTTCATATAATCCCCACTAGCCCCCAGGGGAGCAAGACTGTCCTCAAAAACTTGCTCCAAAGCAATCCGGGATCGACACGCTGCACGGAGATAATTCATCACATACCGCGTGATTGGATGAAGTCCACCACCAGGGACGGCAGCCTTTGCCGGATCACGACGAATCAAATTCTCCAATTCCATAAATATGCCTCTTATAGCCTCACCAAGCCTCTTCCAGATAGTAACCGCCTCATTTCTCAACAACGCGCAATACTGATCTGAAAATATCAATTCGAATTCAGGCATTAAGTCCCTAATAGTTTCATAAACATCAAGAACCTTGAACAATCTCTCTGGGGCACGGCTCCCAATAGCAACCGCATCCGCGAAATTCAACAGCTGAATAGCGGATCCTCTGCAGACCTCCATAAATGAGAGGTCAGCAGCAGAGGATAATCCAAAGAATACGCGGTCACAGAGGCGGCGTTCACTCGGGAAAAGTATCCTTAGCGCTACATTGATGGCCTTAATCCATTTATCAATCTCATCTTCGATCTCACTCCACTGCATTTTATGAATCTCATCGATGCTAAACTTCTGCAACTGCAATCTCGAGAAGCTCTCCTCCAAGAATTCTCTCCGGCACGTGCTGTAAACGTGGGAGCACTCTTTTCCGTACCCCGCAGCCACCATTCGTTTAACGATCTCGTGTAGGTCGTCGATTGTTCCGCCCGGGAGCGCGTCGATGACGATATCGTAGTCGGAGACCGGATGGGCAACTGGGATTTCACTCCCTTCGCCGTCAAATTCTTCTTCGTCGGTGTCAGATGCGTAGTTGGGGTTTGCTGACTCACCGTCCGGGAGCCGAGTCACGTCAAACGACTCAGTCCCCAGTTCCATTAGGGTTTTAAACTCCTCCTCAAGCCGATACATAGCTTGCTGGAGCAAGTCATCAGCCCGGTCGAGGAAGGAGGAGACGGACTTATCGTGACCCATGGGAGACCATTCACGAGTTAGGGCGGTTAATTCGTCAACAGCGCCAAGGAAAGAAGCAGCGTCGCTGGAGTCAGCCCAAATGGGGTGGTCGGCAGCCACGTAAATGGAGATCTGACGGTGGAGGGGCTTGAGGATGTGCTCAAATTTAGCAGAAGCGGTGGGGTCCTCGCCAGGGAGGTTATCAGTTAATTTCTCGCGCAACCTTCCGTCGAAGTTGGAGAAGATTTTGAGGATATCATCGTCAGTCATATTATCAGTATGACCACCCAGAGTCTTAGCTATGTGGCGCGCCACCGCTATCAACTTCTCTTCCCCGTTGTCCGCCATAGAAAACCAAAACTTTTTTTTTTCACTCAGCTGGAGCAGAGTAGGCTTCGCTTCTTTTTTTTTTTTTTGGTCTTTTTGTTTTTACCCCTTTAAGGGGCTTTTTCCTTTCGTGGGTTTATATGTATATTTAGCAAGAGCCTTACATTTAAGATTCTGGGGAGTGGGTTAGATTGAAGTGAGGAGGAGGAGGAGGAGGAGGAGAGTGGATAGATTTGTCGGGTCTAAACGATTGCAGAAGCTGAGAAAGGGAAAAAAAGGAAAGGAAGGAAAGTGGGGTCCAGAAGAAAGGTCTTGGAAAACGCGGTTTATGTGACTATGGGTGAGAATTGAGATTTTTGGTGAGGATAATAAATAAATTAGTAGAAGAAAGAGAAAGGGGAAGACGAGGATAAAGCAGGAGGAACGCGGTAGGAAGGAACGAAGAAGACAACCGGATTTGTATACTTGGACTAATAGTAGTACTTAACTAATAGAGGGGAGGACAACAAGTGAGAAGGGACTGCATAGCGGTTTGTAAACTCTAGACCGTGCAGAGTGCGTGAAATTTCTGTTTTGTGATTCTGTGTATTTTTTGGACCCACGGTACTCCCTTTATTTTATAATTCTTATTCTAGGAAAATTCTTAATTTACTCTAACTTTTAGTCTAAACTAAGAGGAAGGAATAGACTTAAAAGAGAGATTAAATCACCGTCGGACGGATGACTGCCTGGACATCTGCTAAAGAAATTTTCAGAAATTCTTGGAGGAAAAATACAAACTAAGAGATTTGATTCCTTGACCTATATCCAGAGAATTTTAAGTCTGGTGGTGGATTTGGTTTTTACCTATGGTCTTAGAAATATGGAAAGCAAAAACTTGAATACATCTTATTTATTAAATCTAACGATCCAAATTTTGTCACATTTTTATTAGAGTATATCTTATATACACTGATACTAACAATGTATATACCATCACCGTTTGATTCATGACATGTGTGCAAATATTGAATTTCAAATTCAAATTTTACATTATTATCATTCATCCAATGTTGATAGTATAGGAAAAATTAATCCTTTTTATTATGCATTTAATGATTGAATTGGTAAGATGGTGTAATAAACTTTAGGGATAATTTCAGAAACCTCCCCTGAGGTTTCTGACAGTTTCACTGACATCCCCTGAGGTTCTCAAAATTTCACTGACCTCCCTTGCTTTTGAGTTTTTGGTAACAATGCAGTCCAAATCATATTACAATAATATTATTTTCATGTGTAAGAAGGTATTTTTATTCCATGGCTGCCCTTTTTTTTTTTTGCATTGTCAACATATGTTACTTGAAACTACAAAAAGAGTCAAATAAACTTAATAGATGGGGGTATTGTTGTCTAATTAATACATAGGGTGTGGATTTAACATCTTCCTAAAAGTATAGGTCCACAATATAATTGTTGTCTGTCTAATTTCCTACGAGCTTGTATCTCCCGTTTAAGAACTAAACCAACATAAGTAATTTTTAGTCATGCCCATGTTTTCTAAATAATCAACACCGCAATTAGAATTGAAAAATAAACCAAGTTAATTAATACCCGAATTGAGCTCAGTTTGGAAAGAACTCGCTTGAACTTGGCTCGTTAACTAGCTAAACTAAGTTTCAATAGTATATTGTGTTGGATAACTTACAAATTCGATAAAATAGTTGTTCAAATTCGGTTTAAACAAGTTAAAACTCGAATAAAATTTTACCTGTAATTAAAGCAGAGAAGTTTTTGCCTGCTTGTAATCGCAACTTCTAGGAAGGATCTCGGTGTGCAAGCGTGTGGGGAATTTAAGAATGATTTGTCCCTTTTGTGTTTTAGTGAAGCCTCCTCCTCCCTTTGGATTCTCTCTTCTCTTTTTTTTGTTTTATTATTACTGCACTGCAGTATAGTTCTCCCTCTATTATGCGTAATCCCTCAAATTTCAATCAAACACTCTAGTACTACCATCAGAAAGCATCTCTTGATTTTGGTGGTGTATCATAATATATCTCTGATTCTGATTAAAAAAAAAAAAAAAGAGTGTTCATAAGATCGTGGCGGCTAGTTCAAAGCAGCACATGACTAGGGAACGTGGCCACCCAAACCCACTAATTAAACAAAAAGTTGCTTTTTAGAATGTATGCAGTAGTCATACATACGGGTTGCTCAATTTCTTGCAAAAATCTTCAAAGATTCAATAATCATCTTCTTGCTCTCCAACCAGAGAGCAAACGTGAGAAAGTCCTTGCAAAACATGAGAAGATGTTGTTGATTATTAATGATCAATGAATGAATACTAAGCACCACCCTGATTCAAACAAAAGAAATGGGTTAATACCACTTTGTCCCCCCAAACTTTGAACGATTACCCACTTCAGTCCCTAAATTTCAAAATGGGACACTTAAATCCCTAAACTTATAAATAACTCCCACTTAAGGAAAATTGTTAACAAATCCTGAATGCCGTTGGTGGTCGAAGTGTCCCATTTTATAAGGACTTAGGGATTTAAGTGTCCCATTTTATAAATTTAGGGACTTAAGTGGGAGGTATTTATAAGTGTAGGGGTTTAAGTGTTCCATTTGGAAGTTTAGGAACTGAAGTGGGTAATCGTCCAAAGTTTGGGGAGACAAAGTGAAATTAACCACAACTGGAAAAGTTGCTCACATCACATCCTGGTGGGCCCATATCCTCCCGGGTGTAGGCCCCTACATATAAAGCCATCGCCAGGCACTGGGCAGCCAGCTTTGCTTCCTCCCACTCGCTGTTACAACAAATTACTACTGCTTTTTTTTTTTTCCAAAGGTCAAACAAATTACTACTGCTACTTAACAGAGACTCTCATTCTAACTGGGCAGTGGGCGCCTACCCGGGGGGAACTGACAAAACAAGCCGACTCTCACATGCATTCACGCAAACCAATCAGCACCGTCAATTCCCACCATCAGCGGCTATGAAACTCCTAATCTTCCCCGCGCCGCGAAATGCAGCGTACATATGGAGACAAAAAGTTCCAGTTCTCTCCAGTCTCAGTCAAAGGAATAAAATTCCCCATTGACCTGACCGGTTCAAAATAAGGAAAACTCGCGTTTCAATGTCCTCTTCCCACCCTCTCCCCATCTCCAACCCTAAGGCCCAAGCTCAAGCCCAGACCAATGCCTTAACGGGCCCATCCTTCCTCACGCGCCTCTCCGACTCTCTCCGCCGCCTGAACTCCCGCCGCCGTCCCTGGCTCGAACTAGTCGACCGCTCCGCCTTCTCACGCCCGACCGCACTCTCCGATGCCACCACCCGCATCCGCAAGAACATCTCCTACTTCCGGGTGAATTACCTCACGGTTTTCGGATCCGTTCTCGCCTTCTCGCTCCTATCGCATCCTTTCTCTCTTCTCACCCTACTATCGCTCCTCGCCGCCTGGCTATTTCTCTACCTCCTCCGCCCATCCGACCAGCCGCTCGTGGCGCTGAGCCGGACGTTCTCGAAGGGCGAAACCCTAGGCATTCTCATTGTAGCCTCGCTGTTCGTGATCTTTCTCACGAATGTTGGGTCGTTGCTGATGTCAGCAAGCCTGATAGGGGCGGGGATTGTGTGCGTTCATGGAGCATTTAGAGATCCGGAGGATTTGTTCCTCGACGATCACGAATTGCCTGGTTCTGGATTGTTCTCGTTGATCAGTGGCGCTGCGTCCTCCGCTCCCGTCTCAGCCGCCGCGGCAAGCATTGTTGTTTCCCACGTATGATTCCTTCCTTCCTAGTTCCTGCATCATGATGGATGTAGGTAGAGACCCTTTTTTTCCTTTTTTCTTTTTTTGGAGGAAGGAAGCAATTGGAAATTCGCGCACGCACGCCGGGATGGCATTATGGGCGGTTGAGTTGTATTCTTTAATTAATAATATTCGTTGGCATTAGTAATTCTGTTGTTTCAGGAAAAACTCACAGCACAAGTTTTATACGCTCTCTTTTCTATGCTCGAGTATTCTTCGTCCATCTGGGGGTTGTTTATGTGGAGCTCAATTTTAAATGTCGATGCCAACTTAATTAAAGCACAAATTGACCCAGACGAAGGTTAACAATTTTGTTGCAAACAACCTTCATGCTCATCAGCTCATGCTCATGCTTTGAGTTCATCTTATGAAAAAGCTAAGGCAAAGTTTCGGCATCACTTCTTGCAGCAACAAATCTTGGGGCAAAATGAAGTTTTGTCCGTGAAAAATGTTCCCAAGTTCCGAATTCGTCCATCAACTTGGGCAATAAATAATGCAGTTAACCGAGTCATTGTTGTTAGACTCGAGCCAGGTTGACCATGAGGGCATTCATTCATGGTGTTTAAGCTTTAGACATTTAACACCCAGAAGAAATTTATGTTGGACCCTTTCCAATTTACGTGTTGAAACTCCGACTTCAGATATACTGACACCCGGCCCCGAAATAAAAACATAAAGTCACAAATCTGCTTCGACCAGTAATAAAAAGAAAACTCCAATAACATCAAAGGTTTTATGGTGTTGAGGGAGAATAATTTCATTTCCCATAGCTATTCGTCAGTAGAACCAACACCAGCTACTACATGGTTTTCCTGTTCAAGTACTGGTTTCTCCCATGTCCCAATTATCTCATTTTTAAGCTAACTAGTCTACTTGGGTTTGATATTGTAACAAATCCTTGTTTTTGCTTGGTTTGCTATTACTATCAAAGTGAGTCTGTATTTCCTCCTTGACATCATTTAGCGTTCTTGATGGCTTGGGGTGTTGTATTTACTTGTTTTGATTGTCCGTATGTCCAATTTATATTGGGTTTGAAATGCATAATTGTTGTGACTCCCATCTTTTTCTCCTTTTGTGTTTAGGCCTCTCCAATAAACAATCACTTTCCCTGGCGAGACATTTTATGGAGACTCCCCGCTCCTGGCTGATGGCGGTGGAGAGTACAGGAATCCCAGAAATTTATGGCGCCTACGGATCACACAACCTGAAAATGATGGACCAAACACACTGCAACCTGAGAAATCGTTTCACGGACCTGTCCATGGGTCGACAGGCCTAGTTGGCAAGCTTAAATTCAGTGGCCTGGAGGACAGTTTCACCGGAGACAGGTGGGAAGTTGGATACCGTTGGGTCAACGACTATGAGAGACTGGTCCGACGGGATAAAGTGGGGAATCTGTCTGATCCTCCTTTCTGGTTTCTACTACTCTCGCAGGAAAATATATGGACTTGGAGGCCAAGACGAGAAAAATACCTTCAAGTTGACCTTGTGGGTAATCAGGAGTTGTTTGGACAGTGAAATTATCCCAAATAATATTTCGTTTACATCATAAACATATTTTCCAATCCATCTTTTTATATTTCCAAACACATTTTTATCTTACATATATTAAATCACAAAAAATGCTACAGTAATTATTTCAAATAATACTCTATCCAAACAAACCAGGGCCTTCGCCCTCTAGGAGTTTTTGGATAAAAAAGATTGATCAGGTCAATGGGGGCTCAATGTTTTGAGAAGATAACTCTGGTTCATCCATTTTGTCATCTTACATGAGGATGGTTTGCAAGCGTTTGACCACCTTTTACTGCTAGACATTGTGCAAAATACCAATAGGAGAACCCGTTTCACAAAGAATACACTCTGTTATATACATGTCTGGTTACTTTGCTTTGAAAATCAACAATCAACCTGCGTGGAGCTGTACTTTTCAGTTCTTCCATTGTTATGATAATAGAGAACCTGGAAACTGAGAAGTCCAGGAGCTACACTTGTATCCCCGTAGCGTATTAGCCTTTCGTGCAACAAGCATTTTCTTGCCCCCTCATGGGGACACAAGCACATGTTTCTTTCATAAACTCTCAGGTGGCTTGTAACCATTACTTATCGACCTCAATGCTCCGCAAACCTGAATGCAATTATCACAGGCAAAAAAATACTCGCGCTGGTATTATTGCATATGTAATTTTAACGAATGGACTAGCTAGTTGCAGTATCTTCTTTGTGTACTCTTTTTAACTCCTTCCGACTAGGGAACTTGACCGTTAACATTGTGCTAAAAGAGGACAAAAATGCCAAAAGAAACATAGCAAGCCGGACCCAATTCATGCAGTCTCCTTTGCGTATCTATTGGTTTCCTCTGCAACTTTTGTCCACTCGATTCCAATTTTCTCCATATAAGTAACCTGTCATGTTCGTAGCACACCATCCATCAGGGACTAATAAGCATTCTACATTAACTACAATATAGTAGGCCTTCAGCATGTCCAAGATTGAGTGCATCTTAAAGCCACTAGTAAAAAGCAGACTAGCAATGGCATGACGAGAAGACAATGACTCGCAAAAAGTAATGAAAAATGTAAAGAAAGAAAAGCAAAAATGGTAACGAAATTTAAGTTTCATTAGGTCATACCCCAAAGGTAAAACATTTCCAACTTTAATCATATTTGTGAAGAAACACCACTTATTGTGTCAAAATTCAGCTCCTGCCAAGGTACCATCATCTATGGGGCAAAAGAAAGGCCGTTTTTCACTTCTGGGAAGGTGACCGAAATGAGTTGGACCACTTTCACAAAATTTTGCAAAATGACTAGTTGTGGGAACAAAATGCGATGAGTACTTCTTCGTCTCTCTCCCTCCCTCTCTCTTTTGTGGAAAGGGCCGGGGGGGGGGGGGGGACAACAACATTAACAAGCAAATGTAGCAGTTGAGTTGTGTCAATCCCGACCAGCTACTTCAGCTCTCAGTGGTAAATTGGTAATGCTCAAACTCACCAAGTTCAATGTAACAACTCGAACTTCATGTAAGCCACGCCATAGTTTTTGGTTGCGTATGATCTCCAATCAAGTTGAAGCACTAACCAAGGAATTTTGGAATTCATTATCAAGTTTGATATTAAAAGAAATACCATGAGATTGTGTTAGTCCACAATTAGGTGCTTCCAATTTTGACAGTGAGTACTATATAATCATCATTCAACCAATCAAAAAATTAATTCACAAAATCCAGAACAAAATTTCACAAAACCTTAGTGAGAAAATACAAGTTATTCATGCCACACAAATTATTTTCAGAAAATGTAAGTGGACAAAACAAAGAAGAAAAAGCAGAGATCTCTTTTTTTTTTTTTGGGAAGAAGGGGGGGGGGGGGCATGATCTGTATTTTGAACAGAGAGAACAGAATACCTGATTGGTCACGAATCCTTTCAACATATTTACAAAGTCGGTCCGCCTTTCTCTGTCTAGCCTTTCAATTTCGCATCTGTTATTTTCCTGCAGGGACAATTACCAAGTAATGTTGTAAGCAAAAGCTTCAAGCATGTTCAAGAGCAACTCAGCATTTAAAACCATATCCATCCATCTTTCAAGAAGTTGATGCTACAAAAACGTGCAAACAGAGAAACAGATCAAAAAATAATTTTTGGGGATATCCCTCAGCGCCAGTTGGCGCTTCCACAACAGGTAGCACTAGAAGAAAGACAACATATATGCACAACTAATAAAACACCCCCTAGCTGACCATCAACTTTTCAGCAATAAAAGCTTCCATGAAGTCTACATATGAAACTGTCAGAGTAGGAAAGACTGATAACACATCATACATACACTACTGGATGCCTGGGGAGTCAAAGGCAGCAGCAATCAGCTTATTCTCCATATTTTGAAAGATTCCTCTTACCACTTAAAAGCTTGTTCTTAGAGAGATCCTCAAAAAAATTGTGTCTGAATAACTTATGGTCCACCGTTTAACTTGAATCCAATAATGACCATCCATTACATGAGAAAAAGACCATACCTTCGTCCCGGCCCCAAGGTAAAGAAATAAACCTCCAAAAATAAGATTCCCCTTCTGTTCAAGGACGAAGCGGGAGAATGGGAAGACTAACATTTTCTAGCTATCTCAAACTTTTATTTCTAAGGGAGAAGAAAGCAACAATCAATCACTGAAGCTGTCACTTCGAGCAACTCTAGAGATGCCGAGAACACAAAAAATAAATAAATAAATAAATTGATGTTCGCTAATGGTAGAAAACCAATTCCAAAGCACAACTATCATGAGAGTATGTATACTCTAGAGATGCCGAGAACACAAAAAATAAATAAATAAATAAATTGATGTTCGCTAATGGTAGAAAACCAATTCCAAAGCACAACTATCATGAGAGTATGTATACTAAATCACATCACAATCATAACCACTTAATTTATATTCTGAAAAATATCTCCACCATATACCAGGTAGCCACTACATGGACAACTTTGTCATCTAACAATTCCACATCATTCAAATTAATTTGAACCATGTCTTCATATTTTATGATCACAAACTAACTGATTTATGGGGAGAAAAACATTCTGCAGCAACACTAAAACAATGTGGTTCTGTACTACATACATCTAAAAAATATGAGTAAGATGAATTGAGCATAATGGAAATTGGCAAAGCTCCAGCACGTACAAACTTCTGTAAAAAAAAAAAAGGCACCTTAGCTTGTGGTACCAAAATCACCATCTTGACAGTGTTAAAACTTTAAAACAACAAGAAAGCCCAAAAGGATCATTTTCTAATCACCTGATACTCAACATTAGTTAACACAACAAGAAACAAGAATGAGAAGACAGCCTGCCATTCTCAGGATCTTACTAGCCACCAATAAAATAACCTAAGTGCAAAGAAACAAAAACTGTAGCCACCTTTGATTTTCTGAGTAGTCTATGCCAAATATGTTTGTAACTGCCCATTCATCTATGAAGCAAACACTAGACTTGATAGCAGATGGAGGCAAATTTATAAGAAAGAAATTATACAGAAGAGAAGGTAAGAGGATAGTGCTGCAGCATATCATGAAAAAGCCAATAATATGAATGTACTATAATTGGTTCCATTTGCTCAGGCAGTAGTCTGGATACCTTGATGCGCTCGTATTCTCTGATTGCACAACCTTTAGCATCCTCAGTGACTCTAATAGTGTCCTTCAACTCCTCTGTTTTGCGGATTCTTGACTTGTCACCACCAAATATTTTGGATGATGCAGTTTCAAGTTTTTCCGCTCTCGAGTGCAAAGAAGATAATTCTGAAAGAAGGGTTTGCACCGTCAATAAAGCACTTGAACGATCAGAGAATGCATTGTGCACAGCTAACATTAGCACCAGATATTCATGAAGAGTATCCTGCAAAAACAGAGATACATAGGTCATCGTAACCTGATTACATGAAATCATCACGTAACTGCAAGCGAAGAACTTTGCGTTTACCAAGTGCTTCACAGTCTGTGCATTTAATCCTCGATGATATCTACTCACTCTAACAGCTGTAGTTGCTAGACTTTTCATATCAGCAGCACGAACTCTTTGAGTATTCAATACAGCCTCCTCATTCTCAAATTTTGTCAACTTAATAAATGCTAGCCCTAATTCACCCATTGTGTCAGCTAAACCTTGTTGTGCTTTAACAAGTGCTTCAGCCTAAAAGAAAAATGGAGAAATTAAACAAATAAAATACAGTCTCAAAAAAAAATCAACTAAAACAATGGCACCAGTCGAAAGCTCTATGCAGATGCAAAGTCAATAAAGAAAAAATAGATAAAAAGGGAAAATAAAGGTCAAATAACAAAACCAACATAGTCAAAATCTCCACGCAATCACAAAGGATTTGCAGATATGACACTCAGTATCAACATATAAGGCTTTGTAACAGGTGGGTTCACCTAGATGCAGGCTCTACATTTGAAGTTACTAAAATGAAGATGCATATAAGGTACAGGTCTTAAATCCCCGTCCTCTGCGCCCCAAAAAAAAAAAAGCCCCGTCCTCTATGCTATAAGTATTTCTAACCGTTGTAAACAATATTTTCGCAGCTAATAGCTCATCAGCTTGAAACTACATTAAGAAAAAACAATAGTGCCAAAAAAAGGAATTGCCTCTAAATATATATTTTTATGATGCCCAACGCTCAAAAAATTTCAAGCATTCAAGCAAGTGCAGAATACCACTTGATATTTCCACGAAAACAAAAAAGATTAAGCATATAACAAAAGAAATTTCAAAAACATTATCGCATAAGACCTGTTTCGAGGCATTAGTGAGATGCTGCTCAAGATCATGCAACCATTGTTTCCTATCTAAAAATTCCTGATCCTCCTCCTCAGCAGGAGGCCTCGAAGCACCCCAATCATTTGCCACAGACTGCTTCAACTCCTTGAACAATCTCAACAAATCTCTCCCACCTTTAGCAGGCTGCACCACATCCTGGGGACCCATCACACTCCTCGAATCGCCAAACAACTGCTTTGGCAGCTTCCCCGCGCCATCCAGCATCCTTGACGCAACATCTACACTTGTGGGC